TTCCTAAGATTGCTGCAGAATTGAAACCTTGTAGTTTGTTTTCGATTCCAAAGGTCCCTTCCTGAAGTTGCTCTCGTATTGGCAGGCCATTTGCAATCCTTAATCATGTGTCTCAATATGCTACATTTTAGAAAGAGGTTATTGTTTTGTCTGCGAAGATATTGGTCCTTTGATAGGTTAAGTAATAGTCTTCTCCTAGTCACATCAAGGTCCTTTGCATCACCTTCTTGTGTGGTGGTTCAGGAAGTTCTATTCTGATTCTGGATACGCCTGAGTTTCTTGAATTCGTGTTTGGTAGTGCGGTAGGCTGGTTTTTCAAAAACTAATCTCATCATCCAAATTGAATTTACTTTCGAATGGCACAATAGGCTATGGTTTCACTTGTTGCAAATCTTTCCTCACTATTGTTCAAATGTGTGAATATGGCACCATCTTTATAGCTTTGTACAAAAATACGATGTGGTAGAAAGAGTATATCGCAGGCACACTAAGTAAGGAGGAATTTTGTATGAAGGTCAATTGGTAGTAGTTCTTGTCCTTTATTCTCTTAAGCCAGATGGGTGGTAACTGCTATTTATACAGGTGCGCAGCCTTCCCGTAACCAAGAGGAAATGTAAGGGAAAATATAAGTGTCGATGTGTTTGACCATAACATAAGTAGTTAAAACATAAGTGTGAATATGTTTGACCCTAAACAACTGCCAAGGAAATCCCATAAAATATGCATAAATCTGAGGTAGTATGAGTGGATAATTAGAACATAATTGTAGATCAAATAACTAATGACTGTACATGATAATGCATAAAATGTAAGAAATAAACCAGGACACCAGATAAGAAAAGCACGCCATAATCTCCTAATTGTAACATGAAATATTAAATGAAATATATGTAATACATATTCCAGCTGTAGCAATATTCGTAGTCTAGAAGAAATACTAAGTAGAGGAATCTACGATATTATCAAGGAGAATATACATATGAAATGAATTAGAATATTCAATAGCTATATCTCCATACATTCTGATTTGCTGTGTTCAAGCCTTTCATGAACCACCTCATAGCGGATGCTTCATCACATTCTACATCATACTGAAGTAGTCTGAACTCGTACCAATAGTTGGTGACATTTCTTCCTCCTTAATAAATGTTTTCTAATTTGTCTCTTGCCAATTGGCTCAGTTCCAGATCTGTAAACTGGGCCTCAAAGATGGTCTTTAAACTGTTCCAATTGGTCCACAGTATGGGTGTCTAACTGACTACCATAGGTGTCACCCATTGTAGTACTGCTTCTTCCAGTTGGATCAGGGTATATTGTTTCTTGTCATCATCATTTCCTTGTATCTATCTCACTTCATCGAAATAGGTAAGGACTTGGATCATAAATCCTCGTAGTTTACTTCTTTTGCTATCATATCTAGGAGGTCTCGTGACTTTTGGTTTTTGACCTCTTTAAATTACTTCTCATATCATTTGCGCTACTTGTTCATGCAGACTCATTGCTGGAGATACCAGTCCCGCTTGTGGCAGGCCTGCTGGTAGTGCTAGTCCTAACATTCTTTCAGGTCTTGGTATGTCTGATGCATCTTCAGCATTCAGAGGTGTGACTAGATCTAGTGTAACTGGACTTGTCAATATTACTCATTGTTGACTTGCTTCACTTAATACTTTGTTAAATCCTCCTAGTCCTAGACTATCATCCTAGAGGTCCAAATCCTCTTCTTTGTCTCTGTTGAAAGAATCCATAGTGTAATCGTTAAGTGTCGTGTTGTAGACATGTTCTAGTATTAAGAATCCTACTGAGTATGAGGGGATGAAAGGTAATGATTCTTATCTTGATGTAAGATTATAGTTCTTAGGCCACAGCCTACACGACGTTGATAGTTTAGTCCCTTGACCTCTATCGACTTGGGCCTATTTCCTCAATCTTCTTAAGTCCTCAAGTAGGACTTCATCCCTTCATTCGTGGGAGAAAAGACAATTCTTAGATTTCTTAAAATCAATCTTAAAGAACGTAACAGTAGGTATTTATTTGAAAAGGTAAAGGTAGGAAATAAACTAGAAGAACATGTTAAGAGCGCATACTCTAGGCCCTAGTAATCCTTTAGATACTCGCTCTTTATATAACATAACTCATACCTTGCGTCATGTAATCCTTGTGACTCATAAGTATGAATTACGTAAAATCCATCAGCTGACTCTTATGAGTCACTGCGCAACATACCTTAAACCAATCAAAACTCTATTATTAGGTCAGTTGCACAATTTGTATTACCTGAGTGAAACCCATGACTCGGAATTTAAGTCATATGCAAAAATTACAACAGCATGTAACTTACAACTGTGAGTCACCAACAATGACACATAATAATCTATGGCACACTAGGGTGCATCATATGAAATCCCAACATACTAATAGCTCAGAATCTCAAACTATCTAAAATCTGCCTTGCTAAGTTACTGTTTGTGACAGACTCTTCAGGATAATATATGCTAACTCTGCTAACTCTGTTAGTTTTGGTCTATTTCACTCCATTCTTTTTGAAGATAGTACTAGACCTTCTCATCTTGGTCTCCTTATATATCCTGTGAACAGCTCCTAGTCAGACAGATGGCAGCGACATCTACAGTGTTATGAACATGGCTTCCTAGACTCCATTTTACTAGTAAGATGGCAACTCTACCTGTTTTAGCCTGTGACACCTGGGACAAACCCGGGGGCCGCCGGTACCTGTTAGGAATAATTCTGCCAAGTTATAGCATGTTCTGAGAACTATAGCTCCTCCCATAGTCTTCTGATCAGTGTACAACCAAGTGCCTATTGATCATCATTTAAGTTGTATAACAAACAATCCTACCATTTCCTGAAATACCTCCAAGAACATTTCCAACAAATGGTAGGGTAATAGTGTTACAAAGGTAGGGTAAGTATGTCCATAGTAATATGAAACTGGTCTCCATGGTAGGGTAACATGACTCACCTAGGCAGGGTAAACTCACCCAGCCTTCTGACCTAGCCTTTAGCCAGAGTAGACATAGTCACATTACTTCCACTACTCAGGTACACCTATTCCTTAAGTACCTTCTGTTCTTAGAGATATCCAGACAATCAGATATCTCTTGGACATGCTCTGGCATGCCTACCTTGTCTACTATCTGACCTCTTTGTCTCATATATAGGCATAAACATAGGTTACTATAGCTCTATAATATAGAGTCATTACAGGACCACAGCTGGGAGTAGTAAGGGTATCAGGATGCCAGGAAGGAGTAGTAGGGGCATCAGGATACTAGGGGGGAAAGGGTACAGATTGTCCAGACACTCAGAACTGAGCTAGCAAGGGGTTACAATATAGTGGAGTTGCAGTACCACCTATCCAGTAAGCATTAGGATGTAGGAGGGTGCAGATGCAAATATATTGACACAACAACCACTTCAGTCAATGTCCTAATTAATAGTTTATATCCTGTATGTCCTGTTTGTCTGACATGAAGGATGTATAGGATGCAAGAGTAAATTTTTACTAAGTCACCAGGATGTGCCACCCATGCATCAGAAGCCAGGTTTATTTTTGCTGATGTGCCAAGCCATAGAACAGCAGTGTGTCCTATCCCAGTGTCCATTACTACCATCAGCGAAGTGAACCAACTGCCTAGCCCTGGCTGAAGTGTCTTTCCTTTTGCATAATCTAGCTACTAATTTATGGTCCCTGACTTGGTGTAAATACCCAAATAAAGCTTAAAGATAGATTTCCCATCAAACCTCTAACCTCCATCTAGGCTGCTCCTATTATGTACTCAGGCTGTTTTCACTCTACTACTAGATCAGCTCTTGTGAAGTACTCTATATGATAGAGATTTACACTTTTGAAATATGTATGTATACTGCTAAGGGAATGTGAGGTGTGTACAGGGACATACCCCCAGCCCACTGGCACCCTACCTTTAGAAGTTGCCAGAGCTACAAGCTGTCTCCCCTGCTCATCACCCATAGCACCACACAGTCAGCCAAGGGCTGTGTGCAGCTTCCTACTTTTGCTAAATTCACTTACATCCTGCAGTGCATTACAGCAAGAGGGTCACAACTACTTTAAGATGGAGGCCTCATTGATCCCCTTGGTTCAAATACTACAAGTACAACTCACAGTGCACCAGCGCTCCCCAGTGATCTCCGGCGGCTAGTCAGTTCGACTTTACGTACGGCCAGACTGGCCTGTGCTTTTTCAGGGATGGCTGGGCCGGACTGTGGGAAAGCGGTTTTTGCAAACTAAAGCCGGGCCTGGTCTGGGTCATCTGTAGGCTGATGTTTCAGGGGATCATCTGTGTGTTTCATTGCTAAGAAATATTTTATTATTCAACAGGTCAAACTATTTCATGCAGACAATACCTATCCATCCGGGCTGGCCAGGGAGTTGTGTGAAGACAGAGGGGGTTCGTCACTAGATGTCATGCATTTACCTGAAGCGGGATCTATAGCATCAGGCCCATGTTGCTCTTGATATCTTGTTCCTTCAGATGACCTGGGCATCTGGCAGCTGCACCAAGATTCGACCGAATGGTTGCCTGGGCGCCGCCAGCCTTTGGCGGCCGCAGAGAATTTGGACCGGGCTGGACCAGCCTTTTCAACACTGAGGCCCGACTTACCGGACAGCCAATCGGTAGTCCAGACTATGGTCCAGACTGGCCCCTTGGGATCACTGGGGCTCCGCAATCATCACACCCCGGCGGCCCCCAGGTTGATTCCTATACTTATCCATCATCATCATCATCATCATCATTATCATTATTATCCCAGAATACCCGAAACTACTCCTGATTGCTCAGAAATCATTAGTATTGCCTCATGGGATTCTTTCCCTTCAATGCTGCATGCCCAAATACTATCTTACCATAGCTTTAGGCTACAAGAAGGCTTTCATTGTCTAGATCCCGATCCACCGCATCCTGACCCCTTTCTAAGCTCATATCTAGGAAACAATAGACAAAGCTCAAAAGTCAACAATTTCGCAGACACTTGTTCTGGAAGCCCTCAACCAGCTTGGTCATCTAGCCATGGTTAAGGAATCGAGGGCTCGCCACCTGGAGAACTATTTGATCATGCCCCCTCATTCCAACCAAATCCGTTAGCATCTCACAGAGGAGGATTTGATTGCTCTGATCAATGGCATTGATGGGAATAAAACTACCGAACAGATGCTTGCATTCTCTTGGGATCACCATGTATTTCTTTACTCATTTCCACCCTACCGGTGCCAGCTGTCTTTCCAGTATTGGTGTTGCTCTATTCCGGGGAATTTCCACTGCCCCCTATGGCTATAAGAAACTGGCGGTGATATCAGATGAGCCGAATTTAATATCTTCCTTATTCCGGTAGTTAAAGCAGTACCCAACAGCCATGATCTGTTTTTGGGGCGCATGATCGCCTATCCACCCGGTCACTGGGAAGCCGGGATTACCAGGTCTTGGTGACTCAACCTCTATCAGATATCTCATTATAACTGATATTAGATGTCTCCTACCCACCCGTGAGTTCTGGCTGCAGAACTAGACCACCTGGTGATCTGCCATGACGCAGCCATACTGGAGAAACTCGTTGGCCTCTAGAATTCAACACTCCATGCCATCGAGTAGGCGGACTGAATCACCTGGATGCTGTTTCTAACATAATGTTAGCAACAGAGGAGCCAAAATCGATCTTTTTCATAGAGTGCTCCATTGTTATGGTATATAAAATGATATTCTTCGTCGTGGTACGGGAAGAGTAGAGGGGACTACCGTTACTTCCCAGCTTCAGGTGTGATAACGCCCTCTATTTGAAGTCATGTTCCAGTGCAATGGTATTTCATTTTGATGTTGGATGTAAGAAAGGTGATCAAACTCCTACCTTTCACAAGGATACTCCGCTCCAGTCATTTCCACCCTAAGGGAACTTCATTTACATTTCAGTAGCGGGATCTCCTGACCCCTACGCGGACGGTCGTCTACACCAAATCCGATTACCCAGGATTTGGGTACAAAGCCGGCCGATATCATACCTCAACATATACTGATCGAACCGAACAACGGAGGGCCCAAACGTTCACATGCCCCTATCACGCTGCCGCCATTCCGAGCCCTCGCAACCCCTAGTAGATTGATCATACATTCCAGTTGCGATAGCAGCATCAAGGTTTGGACAAGCTTAGGCAACCAGTGTGGATGGCTTCTATTGTTGCCCTGACATCCAATTCCCTGCAGTTTGGGATATTTCAACAGAATCCAGACAGAGAGGATTTGATGGGTGAGGGTTGAGCATATAATAACCACTGACCGATATGCATCCAGGATCGGTCATGGTTGAACGAGGCAGCAAGCTAGCAGATCAGGTAGTTCCTCTCAGATAGTGCGTGCAGGCGGAAGGTGGGCAGAAACCTCATCTGGGGGAAACTAGGCCATGAGCCCGAACCGATACACCACGCGACAACGTGAACAAGTTTTTTCCAAAGTCCTGATTTTGTATTATAATATGATACTATAGGGCATATCCGCTGAAGATAGGAATGCGATAAACCTACCAATGCGGGCAAGTATCATCTCTACTCCCCTCCGGCAGTCCCCAAATTTGTGAATTATTACGAGGGTCTCCAGAGTTCAAGAAGCGATACCATACCACACAATTCACATTTGCCGCCTACTCTACAACCCGACCTGTCAAAATGGAACCCCTCAGCCCAAGTCATAGTTCATCACTCTGTCCTCCAATCACATTTTAGGGATGCTAGGTTAGGTCCTCGCGACCACGAACCACTACCTCATGCGGCGTCCGGAGCTGCTATCATGGAGATTGTCAGTATTGGCACGAGTGTTGCTATGAGAATGATCTTGAGCAAGAGAATGTCGGGAACTCTTGGACCGCACGGATGAAAGAGCAATTGTAGAATTTAACCGGGCTGCAAGGTTGGCTTCTTGGAACTAATGAGGGGGCTGTGGACTTGAGAACTTGTATAAGCCGTCTGTTATTGTCGCGCTTCCGTAAAGATGTAATAGGTGATGCTATATGTGTAAGTTTCGGATTTCAAGCTCATGGCAATTATGACTTGAAGATGCGGTTGGTAGGCTTTTAATTCCCGTGGTATACCCCAAATTTGTGATGCTCTTGATCATGATTCGAAATCGCGGGCTGTGAAATACCCGCAACACTAATCGAGGTTTTTTGATCCATTGCCTTGCTCACGGTGAAACCCCCGAAAGTTATCACTTACATACTCCTGAGCTAATTCGATATCCTGCAACCGTATCAAGCCGAACGGGGACCCAAACTACAAAATAGCTATCGGCCTTGCTACCCTCACCAAATCTTGAGAGCCCAAGCCAAATTCCCTCCAAATCATACCGCGATTTCAAATCATGACCATAAGTCGGGAGGGGAAACCCCCACCCTTAGGCATTCCCCCATTCTTCAACCGAGATTATTGAAACTAAAATGTTGCATCCTGCCTTCGGTTTCCCCTGAAATACACTCTCAACACTTGGCCCTCCTACCTTTCCCCACCACATCGTAGAAGTCCCCGCCCTCCTCTCAGGGCTACAGCGATGTACAAAAAGCCCTGACTTAATGAATACAATGAAGGACAGGTGTAGGTACCACTGTATCACTACGGAGGTGGTGCCTCCGAGTGCTCCTCGCCAGACCGGAAGAATGCTACTCTCCTGAGACGTCACCCCAATTTCCTTGCATTCCGCCTTAGTTTCCGCCGCCCGCTAAGAGCCCTGGTGCAGACACTAAAGTGGGGAGCAACTGCCCTAAAAGAGCCATCCTATGCCATAACTTAGAGCCAGAAGTATTTGTTCAGCACCCTAAACGTATTGTACAAATTATCAATCAACCTAGGCTACCATCCCTAACTCAGTTACCCTCAATAATCTTCCAAACTCACAGCCCGCAGCTCCTTTATTTGCTCACTAGCCACAAAGGCGCATCTCCCTGTCTAAAGCAAATTCCATTTACCTCGCGCCATTTCCTGGTACTCAAAATCAGTTTATTACCAACAAGAAAGAAATGGATCTAAACCGAAAGGCTCTATCTCTGGTTTGCAACTAGCTGTAAACTCCCGGAAGCAGTCTAGGCATCCCTGTATTTATTTCCTAGAGTATCTCACCACATGCCGTCGCTGGCACTACTTGAATCTAATTCTCGATCCACACAAATAATTAAAATTTTATATCCATGGAAACACCGTAGGCTTACCCTAACCCTACGCATCACGACAAAAGCAAATCTCAAACTATAAGCACACACTCACCCAGAACATAATCCGCGTTGGCACAAGGCGAGAGTCCCAAAATATCCCCCTGGCTAATGCATCGGGGGAAAGCGCGCTGAATTTAAGTCCAAAACAAGGTTTTCGGGGGGGAGAAACAGAAACTAAATGACAGTTGATGAAGGAGCTGAAATCAATGAAGAGAGTGAGGCGTAGCATTAACTCTTACACCTTAGGTTTCACAAAGCCCCAGAACCCAAGCTTAGCAATTAATCCAGGAAGAAGTTCTTTCTCTTTCATCGCTTCGCACCCAAGGATTTCAAACGTCATTCACAGGACCAAGAAGACACAAGAGTAAATGATTTTATTTATTTGTTAGAATCACAAGGCTGAGGGGACGGGAGGGACACCCCCAACTCTCCGGGAGGGCCATTATAGCGAACACTAAAAACGATAGATCAACTAGCCTCCAGAATATCTTGCACCAGCCTAACGTTATGATAACTGCGGCCGGACTAGCAGGCACTGTGTTAAACAAGCGACTTCCCGGGAGACATGGCAAAGTAACAACCAACTTGGCCAACCAAGACCTTCCAGCTGCGTCGGCAATGCGTAAGCTCCGAATTAAGTTCTTTTCTCCCCGACCAAAAGTTACTCGGCCGGTGGCGGAAAAATACACCACAAACGGAACCCCAGGAGCGGAGCTTGTACGATAAACTGATGCTCGGATCAGAATACCTGCGTGCCCCCGAATTCCAATCCATGATCCAGTTAGACCCCAAATGCTTGTTGCCACTATCTCTATCCTTTTATCGCGCGCTTATTACTACATCGCACTGGTACCGATTCCCTCAGCCCCCCCTTAAAGCCACCTTCGCCTCCAACACCGCAGAGTACTGGAGTAGTGACGCCTTCGGCTCCTGATGCCACTGTCTCTCGAGCGTTTCTTCTGGAGATCTATTTCCATTTATCTTTCCTCTTCCGGTCGATCTCACGCGATGGCTCTGTGCCACCTCCAACCACGGCAACACCGACGACCCCCCTCTTTGCCGGTATTTCTCCTCACAGTGACCGACAAAACGCCCCCCCCCCCGAACATGAGGTATCACATACCCCCAGCCTTCCCTATTATACCTCTAACCCCACCAGTTCCCTCCCTATCGAGCTGTGCCCTTCCGGGTATTCCCACAAAGAGACTAAACAGGAATCTCTCCCATGTCTGAAACAAACAAACGCCACAATGTGGCTTGTGCGATGGCGGTAAAGTCCGCAAACCTCGGAACCTTATTGTACCGGAAAAACAATGCTGACGAGAGATACTCCCGGTAAAGCCATATCCCCTATTTCACAACTGCCATTGTAATGCCAGTTCTGGCATACAGCACCCAACTCTTCACAGCAGCGCGGGCAACACGGTTGACGATTCTCGAATTTGGTGTAACCGCCCGGGCTTGCCAGGAGACCACTCATGAAACCAGAGTTGTTTTGCTTTTCCGGCCCATCTCTATTCTCCATACTGCTCCCGGACTCCCAGAGTAGCATGCGGCCAGTCTTTCCCGTCCAAGATTCTTCATAACCGTCGCCGTTAAGGGCTGGCTAACCGATTGTGAACTCGCCTGCATGACGGTCTCTGAACCTCGTACTTCATGCGGATGTCGGAATTCTAGCTAAAGATTTTTTATTTATCTATTTATTTTTTAAAAAAGAAACTCTAGACTCCAGGACCCCTGTGGCATTACAAGCCCGGATCGATACAATACTTGCGGAATCCTCACGGACACAAATACAAAAAATGACTGATTATGCCGCATTTGACCTTAGGCAATAAAAAAACATATCGATTAGGGGGCAGATGGAGAAGTGCAGTGCTAGTTGCGGAGAAAA